GTTGTTGATTTCTGGGGGCTAATTTTCTTTTTGTGGTATGTCCTTCCCCAAAGGGCTTACTTGATTATTTGTGTTTTTCCTTCTCCCTCCCTGTTGTTTGATTTCTAATTTGTTCTATGCATTAGGCCACTGTACCCCTGGTACTGGCGGGCCTTTCTTTGGGGTCCTCCTTTTGGGATGTTGGAAACTGGTGGCTAGACTGAGTCCGGCACTGTTACAGCAGATTCCACAAGGATAGTGATGGTGTGGATGGATTGATGAGCACTGAAGATCACCAGTCTCTGTATGCTGCTGGTCTCTTCCCCTACATGCCCATCTTAACCTTTGTTTGCTGAGCCTTCCCTCAGTCTTTACTCAGTTCCAGAAGGGGATTGTGGGGTTGCTGGCTTCCAACAGCACATCTGGTAGGCCCGCACTTTCTTGGGACCCACAGTTTACCTTGATGGCAGAGCCCTTCCACTCTTCTACTCAATTCCAGAAGGGGATCACATGGTTGCTGGCTTCTAGCAGCCCAGCTGGCAGGCCTGCACTTTGCTGGGACCCACAGTTCACCTTTGTGTCAAATTTTTATTTATTTTTTAAAAAACTTATTTCTTTTTTTTAAAGATTTATTTATTTATGCAAGAACTGGGGTATGGGCCAGATGTGTGGGAGGGTGAGAGGATTCACCAGAGACAGAGCGGGGGACAGAACAGGTAGACTGATGAAATACACTGCTGAGGGGAGCAGCAGGTGCAACAGGAGAGGTCTGCTGTGCCATATTGCAACAGGGTGGTCCCCAGGAAAGGGGGAGGTTCCCTGCCCCACCCAAGGGAGGGTGGAGCTGAGCAGGAAGAGGAGAAGCTGCAGAAGAGACTGAGGAAGGAAGGAAGCAAGATGGAGCCAGGAGACCTGGAGGAGGCGCATGGAGCCTAGAGACATGTGAAGAAACTGCGCTTGTCTTTTGGTCGTGGACTGGGTGACACAGATGTGGGTGAGACCCGTGGGGAGGTGACAATGGCAGCTTTTATCTGGATGTTGATTTTGCTCTTTTCCTTCCGGGCTTGTCCGGTTGTTTGTGACCCTTTGCTGTGGGTCCCCACTGGAAGATGCTTTAGACTTGTGGCAGGCTTTGGGGCCTTGCTCTGGGCCGACCCCATATGGATGGAGTTTTACCCACGAGGGGATGGGTAACTTTGGGTGCTTCATTTAGAAACTAGACTCTTTGCCTCACCTGTATTGTTTCCTAGTTTTTATTAAAGTCCCTTCCCATTAAAGTGTCATATGTTTTGTGTTGATGCGGCGGATGGCAGAACCCATTTAGAATAGGCAGGTTTGCGGGGTTTGGGCTGCCCCTCTCCCTGTCCTATAACAATGTGGGATTCTCTCCGGCAGGCTGGGATCACAGCATGGTGCTTATCCGCCTGGGCTGCCAGGGGAGACCCTGTGTCAACATTTTAATTGAGGCCTTTCTGAGCACCCAATCCAGAGTAGCAAGCAAACTTTATCACATTACTCTTTTATTTTCAATAGAGCTTTGTCTCTAATTGATATTTTCTAATTGTCACCTGTTTTTTTGGGTTTTTTTAAATCATCTCCTAAAATGAAACTGCTGAAGGCAGGTTGCCTGTCTTCCTCACTATGGAATCCCAACTCCTTGGCTGTTTCTTGCCATAGAGTATGCACCCAGTAAATTTTTGTGGAGTCACTGAATAAATGAATCTCTTTTATAGTTCTTGTTTTTCAACTGTACAATAATTCAGTTTTCCATCTGTATGATCTTCAAGGACTCCTTCTTGGAGATCATTCTAGACACAAATTATAGGTGTTATGGTAACTAACTATTCATGGTAGGGTAAAAAGCTGATCTCAATTCCAGTTTCCCCAGCGGTGACTGGTATTTCAGAAGGAGAATGAGGAAGTGGGGAGAGGGAGGGAAGAAAGGGGGTCAGACAGAATTAGGGAAATGAAAAATTACAAAAAGCAGGCATGGGAGTGGGACTATTTTAGGCTATCAATGACTGCTAATTATGGAAGTTAGCCTTTCTCCCTTCCCAGAATGTGTGAGACCCTATCCTTCCTGATGATTACATATCAAAGGAATGGCTTTCAGGTCCTTGAGAAAGACAGTCCTATCTTTTAGGAGATAAATACATGTCTCAAAGGGACAGAAGAAAGACAATTGCAGGTTTTTATTTGTTTTTGAAACAGATCAGAAAGGAAGGTCAGGGGTCTACATCAGATATTGGGCGGAAAACAGTAAATTCTTTTGCCAGCCTTGAGTTTTTAGATAGAACTTTTTTTTTTAAGGGATTATTTTTTTATTAATTTTTTTTTCACATCACTGTTCATTTTTAAACAATATTTGCTTCCCCCCCACCCCCTCAGGTGTAGTCCCCATAGAGTTTCCTTCACCAGTGCACCCGTGCACCATCACCTCAGTTCCTTGTGCTCCTCCCTCCCTCCCCCTGTTCCCTTTCCCTCCTCCTCCCCTGCAGGATGTCTCTGATTTATAATTGTTTTTGCTTTGTTGTGTTTTGTACTGTTGTTATTTTTTTTACAGGTTCCTATAATATAGGTTCCCCTATATTCCTGCTATAAGTGAAACCATCCGATATTTTTCTTTTTCCTTCTGGCTTATTTCACTGAGCATACTTCCTTCCAGTTCCATCCACTTGCTGTGAATGGCATGAGTTTATCTTTTTTGATTGCTGAATTATATTCCATTGTGTGTATAGGCCACATTTTCTTGATCTAGTCATCTATTTGTGGGCATTTGCAGGTTTACCTTAGATAGGAACTTTTAAGTACCATGTCTTTAAGCCGCTATAAGCCATGCTAGAATTTGATCTAACCTCTCAGTGCAGGGGTTTGGACATTCTTGCTGAAAATTTTTATACTTCTTTCTCACTACCTCTATTCCGTCTTTTAAAGACTTATGTTCTAAATTGCCAAAAAGAGAAGGATTATTGTTACCTTGATTGTGTTTATGAGAATAAGATAAATATGTCAAAGATCTCATTGAGATAAATTTCATGTATTAGCTGTGTAGGCAGGTGAAACCACCTTTCCTATAATTAAGCTTGTGACCCTTCAAATGTCTTCTTCCCTCTCCCCATTCCCCCAACATTATCCATACTCAACTTAATTTTCTGTGTGTGGCAGTTAGGAGGAAAAGACACAGGTATCCAAGAATTTCCTAGGCTCAGTGACATTCAGCCTTACGAGCACAGAGCTCTATTTTTGTGTGTATATGAAGGGCTGTTCCTTAGGCACAGTGATGCAGGGGGACACAATAGGTCATGTCCTCTCATTAACCAGATTTAGAGAGACTCAAACATAAAACTAGTATTACGGAATACTAATTTATTAGCATTGTGATAAATACAAATGTTATATCAAAATGTGCATGTTTTGGATATTAGAACATTGTCTAAAAAGAAATTGCATGTAAACCAAACTATAGTTTCAAGGCTGCTTGATCAGAATCAAATTGGAGCATGGGAGTTAACATAAATTACTAAACCAATCGGGATCCCTTACTTCAACTGTTGTAGACAGATTCTGAGGAAGTGTGATAGAGAATGGAGAGCTCATTCTTCCTTTGTACCTTTGAAGATCTCACATTTTAAAGTTCTGTCTATATTCCTTGCCTTATTCTTTTTTCATCCTGACTGTGTGTTCTCCTATGAATTTGTTAAACAAAATTTTTTTCTTTTCTTTTTTTTTTTTTAAAAGATGACATGGATGTAGGCTAGAGAAATGGTAGCCCTCTCTCCTAGGAGGATGAGCATGGTCTTATTCCTTGGTTAAGGTGATTATATAAGCAGTCCTACTTGCCTGCTTGTGTTTTTCTTCTCTGCCTATCTAGTTAACTGCCCAAGCCCCTGAATAATCTTGTGCTTTGTGTTATTTCTTACCCTTTGGCTGCCCCTCTAATTTTTTTTTTAAGATTCATTGTTTTATACACACAAGAACTGGGGTACAGGCCAGATGTGTGGGAGGGTGAGAGGATTCACCAGAGACAGAGCAGGGAACAGGCAGACTGAATAAAATACATTGCTGAGGGGCGCAGCTGGTGAGACAGGAGAGGTCTGCTGCGCCTTGTGGGTATCTCCATGGCCAGTGGGGATCAAACCCACACTGCAGAGGCTGCAGACAGCTTCACAGCGCTGCGCTCAACCACCTGCGCCACCAGGGAGGCCCTCTAATTTTTTTTTAACTGAGCTGTTAGTCGGTTGTTAGATACTACACTTTGCTCCTTGGATTGGGACAAAAATACATGAAGGGCAAGGCAGTTTACAATTTTTTCAACCCTCTTATACCTGTGAGATCAGTGTTACTACTCTCCCCCTTTTATTGCTGGGAAAGTAGCTGGCACATGGCATTTTTCCTTATTAGTTCTATTATTTAGTGGAGCTGTTATACAAATCTTTGTTTCCTCAGGCTATTACAGTGACGTTGATTTGCCTGAAAGACTATATGGAAAGAGAAAAGTCAAAATTTAAGCTAAGTGCTTCATTCTAGAAGGTTTCCCATGCCAACAATGGAGTCTTTGCCACAAATTGAAGAGTATTGAGTTGATGAATTTTAAAATACATACAATTTGGAGTGAGTTTTTTGGTTTGTTTTTGAACCTCCCCTCTCTTCCAGGCGTAGAGATGAATAAACTGTTGTCCCTGCCCTTGAGGAACTCCGTAGTATTTGGAGAGATTGAAGAATCAGATAATTATTTGTATTTGGTAAATGTGCTACAAAAGTTGACATAAAATTCTAGGGAAATGAGGAGAGAGCTGCAGAGATCACTTCTTACTTTAAATCCAGCCATCAGGCAATAGTAAACATTTCTGGTGTGTATAAATAGTTTGCCTTTTAAGGTGGAATTGTACTGAATTGGGTTTGGTATACATTTCTTTATAAATATATACTAACAAGAAGAGTTACCATAATTGTACAATGAAACGACCACATTGTAAATAAAAATTGCTCTTATGTATTAAAATATTAACATTTTTTGACAGATATGCCAAGAGTTTAATAGCACCTGGGCATGGGAGATGGAGAAGAAGGGCTATCTTGAAATGAGCGTTGAATGCAAACTAGCACTCTTAAAGGTAATAATTATTTTAATTTTAAAATTCACTGTTGACTCTTGGTTGAATTGGAAAATATCTGGAAAGTGAACATCTTTATTCTTAGTGGAAAAGGAGAATAGACTCTCTTTTGGTGACAAAAAGTCTGCTTTTTAAATAACTTTTATTTTTTACCACACAAGGTTATCTAGGTTTAGTGATCTCTGCTTGTCAGGACAGTAGAATTGGAAGCAGTTGCCCCCAAATTAATTTTACTTATTGTTTTTAGCCTTTATAATCACTGCTAAAAATACGATAAGCTATGGTTAATCTTCTACTAAATTAGTAATCTGATCACTAGTTCCCCAGATGAATAGTGGTATGCCATATGTACTTAATAAAACTCTCATAAAAAGTAGGGAAAGGATAGCAAAAGGTAGATAAAATACATGTGTTCTGTTTGCTCCTATTTGTAAATCAGTTCTGATTGAATATACCATGTTTATTGTAATAGAGTAAAAAATTTCTGCATAGCGAATTTTAAACCATGTTATCACTATTTTTCAGTACCTCTGTGAGTGTCAGTTTGATGACAATCTCAAGTTCAAGAATATTATCAATGAAGAGGATGCTGATACCATGCGTCTCCAGCCAATTGGCCGAGACAAAGATGGCCTCATGTACTGGTACCAGTTGGATCAAGATCACAATGTTAGAATGTACATAGAAGAACAAGATGATCAAGATGGCTCTTCATGGAAATGCATTGTCAGGTATCTGTTATTGAAATCTCATTTACATTTATTCATGTGTTTCTCACTTTGATCTCTTCTCTAACAGAATATAATCTCTGAGGCTGGAGTAGCATTTTTTTCATGGAGCCAGGGAGTTTCCAGGACCTAGAGCAGTACTAGCACATTACTAATAGTAGGTGCTCAATTAATTGTTAAGTAAATATATTTATCATTGTCACATATATCCAGGAAACCTGTGTATGATAAATAATGCATACAAAAACACATATTTAGATAAAAATTTAACAAAAGCACTGTTTGGTTCATAGTCTTTGCTGTGCATGCATCTATTGGAGTACTAAAGAAATCAGAGGAACATGTGTTTTGTTTTGCCAGTCCTTTTTTTTTAAGATTTAAAAAAATCTTGATTTCTCATTTTTGTCAGCAAATGTATTTGAACAGAAACTAATGTAAAATCTTGAAATACAGTTTTTAAAAATCTGAGTGATGCAGAGACCTTTGTTCAGATTCTATCTTTTAAGTTTCTGTTTTTGCTTTGATTTTCTATTTAGAATGTATCCCATTAGTACTTATAGCATAAATTAATTTTGAAAATATCAAGGAATCAGCAACTCATATATTTATAATAGAGTGCTACTGGTTATATGACCTCTGACTTATGAAAAACTCCTTTAGCATTATGCTTATCTGTTTTTGCTCATTTTGAATTTCAACAGATTTTTGCTAGTGATTATATACTAATATTTTGAAGAAATAATAGAAATTTAGAATTCTTGTTCGGGTTAGGGATGCTCAACTTTTGTTTCCTAAGAATAAACATGAATGAATTCAAGGGAAATTGTTTTATAACTACCTCTTTCTCATAGTTAATGTACTAAATGGAAATAAACAAAGTAGTCCTGAGGTAAAAATGTCTCACCATTTCACCCTATAAATACTTACACCAAATGAAATTCTGTTCATATTTTACCACCATTTCTATTTCCTATATCAACCTTTCATAGTTGCTTAATATACTCTACTATCTTGTAGATGAAGAAAGTATGATAAAGTAATTATGATTTATTGATAAGTCATATAGGCATAGAACTATTGTACTCTGTTTTAAGTAGATTGTACTTATCCATGATATATTAGGAGAGAGAAAAAACATAGATATTAGAGTTAATGCTTTTGAATCAATTCATCTGCTTAGTATTTTTAGGCAGATTAACTTGCTTTCTCTCTTTCCTGCACTTTAAAATTAAAGGATAATAAAACTTCCCCAGTGAAGTTGTGAGGAATAGAAGAGAAATGACACTAGGATCATAGTACATGCTCTGTTGAAAGTTCACTCCTGGGCCTCCCTGGTGGCACAGGCAGTTGAACGCAATGCTGTGAAGCTGTCCGCAGCCTCTGCTGTGCCAGTTTGATCCCCGCCAGCCGTGGAGATACCCACATGGTGAGCACACCTCTCCTGTCTCAGCCACTGCTCCCCTCCGCAGTGTATTTTGTCACTCTTCCTGTTCTGCTCCCCGCTCTGTCTCTGGTGAATCCTCTCACCCTCCCGGACATCTGGCCTGTACCCTGTTTCTTGTATAAATAAATAAATGTTCAAAAAAAAAAATTCATTCCTTTCTCCCGATTTTTTTTTTTTAAATAGGAAAACAAATTTAAATGTTTGAAAGAAACAATTGGACCAAATTTGCTCCTCAAGAAGAGTTCTATGTCTCTTGGGGCCCAAATTTATTGGAAGGGTTGGAGAAAAATAAAAATGCCATTTAGCTTAAGAATTTGTGAGTTATCTGCAAATCAACTATTTTCAGGAGTGAGAAAAGCCATTGTCATTTCTTAATATCAAACTATACACTGGTTTCTCTTTTGAAGAGAAACATTTAAAGAGGTGATTGTACAAAGCCTCCTATTTTTCCACACAGGATAAATAACTTTTTTCAACCAACTCTCAGGGGGAAGTAGTATAATGCCACCTTCCCAGACAAAGAACATTGGAATATTCGGTTTTGTTGTCTTACAGAGTTCTTCATACATTTTCTAATCAATTTCTATAGTAGGCACAGTTTTTTCCATGTCTCCCAAGATCAAATTTAATGTTGCTATAAGCATGTTATCTGCCTGAAAGCTCTCTGTCTAATTCGCTCATCTAAGCTGTGGCTAATGAGATCAGGGGTTCTTCTACAGTGCTGGTAATTTGTTGCTGGGCCACGTCATCTGCCATGTTTCAAACCCCGTGTCCTTTCCTGCCTCTCATGAGAGCATGCAACCCCCATCATCCAACCTCTAGCCCCTTTTTTTTTCACTTCTGACTTCGGTAACAATTTTGAACACAAAGGTTGAAATTTAGTTTCTTAAGGAAGTATTTATCAGCAGAAAGAAGAAAGGTAAACTTTCAATTGGTAATGCTTTTACCTCTTCTCATGCTTGACCATTCTTAAAGGTTTTTTTCCTGTACTACTGCCTTAAAAACAAAACCTTTCCAGTATAAAGTTGGTGTTTAGGATCAACATAAAAGTAGCAGTTGTTCAGAAACAAATGTTTATATAGAATATGTGAACAGTTTTCTCACGTTAACTACAAATTTCTTTGGAGAACTAGTGCCAGATTATTTTTAGGCTTTTTGTTTTTAATATTTTTTATTTATTTGTTTATTTATTTATATTTATACAAGCACTGGGTACAGTCAGAAGTGCGGGAGGGTGAGAGAATTCACCAGAGCCAGAGCGGAGAGCAGAGCAGGCAGAAGGACCGAAGTACACTGCTGAGGGGAGCAGCGGGCGGCAGGAGAGGTCTGCGCGCCGTGTGGGACCCTCCTCCAGTGGCCGGGGAGCAGCCGGGGATCGAACTGGCGCTGCAGAGGCTGCAGCTTCGCAACCCAGCGCTCAACCGCTGCACCACCGGGGAGGCCCTATTTTTAGGCTTTGTGAACACCATCCATGAGTGTGTGTATTACTATCTGCAAATATGCCAGGCAACTATTCCTAAATATGCGGTAATATTTGAGATATTCTGAAACTCTTGGTTATATTGACTCTTAATTTCAGGGATTAAAGCCAAATTTTGAAAATCTGATTATCACACTTTGTTTATCAAATTAATAAATTTATATTATGTACCTTTTGTGTAATGGATACTGCTGAATAATTGGGGATATGGTAGGGAATAGTACAACTCGGATCTCTAAATGAGCTTCAAGCTTCTATTAAAATCCCTTATATCGCTTCTCGGCCTTTTGGCTAAGATCAAGTGTAAAATCCCTTATATAGTCAGTAGTAGCTCTTGTATTGAATGTGTGTGCTTTCTCGGAAGTACCATAGTTTTCCTCAGAGTCTCAATTATTCTCTTCGTGATTTTTTTTTTAAAGATTTATTTATTTATGCATACAAGAGCTGGGGTACAGGCCAGAGATGCGGAGGGGGGGTGAGAGGATTCACCAGAGATGGACTGGGGAACAAAGCAGGCAGACTGACTGAAATACACTGCTGAGGGGAGCAGCAGGCGAGACAGGAGACGTCTGCTGCGCCATGTGGGTAGCTCCCTGGCTGGCTGGGAATTGAACTCGTGCTGCAGAGGCTGCGGATTGCTTCATAGTGCGGTGCTTAACGCCTTGTGCCACCAGTGAGGCCCCTCTCTTTATGATTCTTATAAATGAGAAGTCTTAAGATATAATATTTCAGTTAGCTTTAATTCATTGACACAGTGACACTACTCTTTTTTTTTTTTTTAAGTTTTTTTTTAATTTTGTTTATTTTTGTGTAGAAGAGCAAGGGTGTAGGCCAGAGATGTGGGGGAAGGGGTAAGAGGATTCACCAGAGACAGTGGGGAGCAGAACAGGCAGATTTGCTGAAATATACTGCTAAGGGCAACGGCAGGTGAGACAGGAAAGGTCTGCGACACCTAGGCCAGTGCGATAATGGTGCTGAGACTTAACCCCTAGGCCACCAGGGAGGCCCTTGACAAATTTAGTGAGCTGTCTTGTCCATACAGGTATTGCATTTTTGTGAAACTATGTGGAAAACATTTTTAGTCTTGACTCTCTCAAAAAATGAGATCTTATTTAATAATGTATAGTGAGTGGGATGTGGGGCATCATCCCACTTGACCATAGTGTATAATGTAAGTCCTAGAGTATAGTATTTATTAAACTTTGATGCAAGACTCTAAAAATATTGATGTAGTAGAGTAAGTACTTTTTTTGGAAGAACCATGAAGATGACTGAAAGAATTAAAATGTCCAGTCTAGAGGAAATTTAGGGAGCTATAACTGTCTTTACACAGTTAAAGCATGCGTAGGAGATATTCTCTTAAGAGCTGAGCCAGGATCAGTGGATATAATTTTTTTTTAATTTGTTTATTTATGTATACAAGAACTGGGTATGTATAAGCCAGAGGTGTGGGGATGAGAGGATTGACCAGAGAGAGTGGGGAGCAGAACAGGCAGATCTACTGAAATGCACTTCAGAGGGGAACAGCGGGTGAGGCAGGGGAGGTCTGCTGTTCCATATGGGTTGCTTCCTGGCCAGCTGGGGATTGAACTCATGCTGCAGTGGTTGGTGATAGCTTGATAGCGCTGTATTTAACCACTGTGCCATGAGGGAGGCCCTGGATACAAATTTTGAGGAAATAAAACTTGAGTTTATAGAAGCAAGAATATGTATGTTATTTATATATGTATGTCTATGCTGCAGAGAAATGATTGTCTTAAGGCTGTCAAAAGCATTTTCTAAACTCACAGGTTTAGAAAATCCCTTTAGAAACTCAGGTGGTAAGAGCAAGTTAGCCAAATAGATTGTTGACTTTTTTAATTTGAAACTTGTATTTAAATATTTTTCTTCACTAGTGAGTATTATTTTTTGCTGGTAAAATGAAAAGCCAACCTCTCTAATTTAAAAAGATTTCTTTAAAGTAACTCTTGTTTTGTTGGAGATCAACTGGTGTTTGAAACATGCTTCTGCCTAATCCTTAAGGTTACATAACAAAAATTATCTAGTTTATAGAATTGTTTTTAAGGCTGCCAGCCGTCT